TGTCCCCGCCGGCAACATATACTCGTAATCATTTTTAGGCACCGAAATTCAAATTTCATTTCTGTCGGCGACGACATGTTTATATGTATGTTACACACTCGAAATGCCACTAAACTTTCCGTTGCACAAACGAAAAAAATTCAGTTGCTGTCTGTCTTATATAATTCCCATCGCGACACCGAAATCGGCATCCTTTCAACATCTCCGGTCACATCTCGAACCATAATCTTGATCCCGACATGCCAAGCCACCGGCAGCTTGCGAATCCGCAAGCAAACATTTTTGAGCAGTTCATGTCGCTCATGGCAAAATCCAGCTACCCTTAAACAAGCGACAGATAGCAAAGAAGCAGCACTCAGTGAATTAACCATCAGATAGCCCGGGCTGGTACGATGCTCACCTCAGCACATGTTTGCGAACTTCTCAGGGCTCGGTTTTTAGGATGCCTTGGGAAACACCTGAATTTCGAAATAGCTTGCTTGATTTCAGTGTACCTTTGGGGAGGGGCCACTACCCCTCATTCCTGTGAGCAGCAACATTTCTGTTCCGGTTCCCAAACAGCCGGCTGTCTCTTTTGCACATCGATTCTCTCGTGTACGTCATGATATTTCTTGGGAGAACCAGACCGAGAAGAGACTGGTGGCGGCCGTTCGGAAGTGGACTGCTCTTGTACTCAGGAGCCCTCAGTCTTTCGATGTGGGTCGGAAGGTCACGTCACTGGCACCTGCGGGGGTCCAAGTGTCAAGGTCGCTGCGACATGTGTTCGCAGGTAAGGCAGTTGGAACTCTGCACAGTCGGGCTGATCCGCTCATACGATACGTGGCATGGGCTGATAGGCATGCAGTCTTGGCATTTCCATTCAAGGAGGCTGACATGTACGAGTTTGCTTGTGAGTGCGAACATACATGCTCGCCGAGTTTCCTCAAAAGCTTCCTGAGCGCGGTGACCTTTTGTTTCTTCATTCTTGGAACGGAGAGCGCTCAGGAGGCGATGGCTAGCATGAGATTGAGTGGTGTGGCCAGGGCATGCTACTTGACAAAGCGGAAGAGGGTCCAGCGCCCACCGTTGTCGACTGAGATGGTACAGCGACTTGAGAGGTTTATAGTTTCCCCCCATGGGGATCGCATTGACCGGTTCATAGCTGGATTCTTCTTGCTCTCGACTTTTATGAGGGCCAGGTATTCTGATACACAGAACATGTACAATGTCAGCGAGGACAAGCCGCAGGTCGACCCGTCTGGGCTTGGAGGCTACCTTCAGGCCGACATCGCACGCAGCAAGACATCTTACACCACTGAGAGGAAAACTCAGCTGCTGCCGATGGTGTGTCCACGCAAGGGTCTCTCTGGCGAAGATTGGTTCCAGGCGTGGTCCATGCTGAGAAAGGAATTGAACGTCCCTGTTGGAGAGGGGCTTCCCGTCCTGCCGGCGATTTTGACCACCGGACACTGGGCTAGTCACCCTCCGAGTGCCTCGGTCGCTGCTGGATGGTTGAGGAACGTGCTCCGCAAGTGCGGATTTTCTGAGGCTCAGTGTTCCCCTATTGGAACGCACTCATGTAAAGCGACTTGTCTATCTTGGTGTGCCAGATTCGGCATCGACAGCTATGATCAGAGGGTGTTGGGGTATCACACGGCTCCGGGCGACCGCAGCGCCCAAGTCTACAGCCGCGATGCCGTATCGGCATCGGTCAGGGTGCTCGAGAAAGTCCTCGCGGCCATTCGGTCAGGGACTTTTGTTCCGGACAGTACCCGGAGCGGGTACTTCCCCACGGCGGACGACCCCAACGCCAGCTACGACTACGAAGCTTCCTCAGAGGCGTCTCTTGATGAAGAGGATGCCGAGACCGATTGTCAGGAGCTCGAGCGAGCGCTGGACGGGGTCGTGGATGATTGGTGTGAGGAAGTGCCTAAGCGCGAGTTGAAGGCAGAGCACTTGGTTCGCAATCGGTCTTCACGCATGCTGCACTTGATTGCCGACGAGGGCGGAACTTCTCTATCTTGCGGCAGGACATGCACGAAGAACTACGAGAAGGTGGCAGCTGTTCCATCGTTTCTGTACCCTGTGTGTGCCAGGTGCTTCAACTCTGTCAAAACAGATTCCAGTGTCGAGCCTGCTTGTTGGAGAGCAGGTTAGAGGGGATCAGAGCTGAGATTTGTGTTTGGCGAGCGTGACATAGAGGGATACTGAGGACGGTGTGCCGTTGCGGCCCCGACCGAGGTCGATGGCCGGTGTGCTATCCCCGCGTCAGAATGTCACCGGTGTGCATTTTGCCCCGAGTCGTATCACATGTCGGGTCAACGGTGTGTCAGCGAGACCCCGCCACGACAGAACATTGATGATGTGAAAGGGACGGTCCTGGCGTGATCACGGTGTGCCGTGTCGGCCCCGTGCGTTTTGTCCACATGTTGTTGCAACAGTGTACCGTGCCAGCGCCAAGGATTGTACACTTCACATCGGTGCGGTGTGCCCATGGGCCCTGCGTGTCACGGTGTTGGGATGTCAGTGGCATCGCGATTTTGAAGGTGACGCGACACGAGTTGGAGGCGAAACAATTCTTGAGCGACGTTGCGATGTGTGAGTGTCGGTAGAGAGTTGTTTGCAAATCGTTGTGATCAACAACGATGGGGACCGCATGGGTTCGCGAGAGTCAGGTCGGCTCAAGCTGGAACCATGAGTATTACTGAGAGTGAGGCCAATTTTAGCTCCCGGGCTGCGAAACTCGGCTTGAAAGCTGAGGTGCTTCAGCTGCTTGTCGATGGTGGCGTCAACACTCTTGCCAAATTTGCGTATGTGAGCAGCTTCATTCCGGGTCAGAGCGATGAGGGTCCTTTTGTGACTTCCATAAAGGACTTGTTGAAGAGGGATGCTACCGTGGGGGAGCTTTCGGTGTTGCGCCGATTGCACTCTGAGGCCTTTGCTTTGGTCGCGGCCGAGCTTAAATCTCAGGTTGAGCGCACCACCGATGCACCAGCGAGGAGTCTTGCCGCTCCTGACCGAGCAGATCGTCTGGCTCGTCAAGTGCTGCGGTATCCAGGCTTGACTATCGCCGGGCCTAATGAACCGAGTGACAGGTCAGTGGACAAGTGTTGTCAAATGTATGAAAACAATCGCCTTACATATCTTCCGCTGAGTTGGTGCATGAGCAAGGACGATGAGACTCGGAATTCCCGGGACAAGGAGGATCGTACCCTCACAGTTGACAATAGCGGTAATGTTCACATCAAGAACGCCGACATTCGAGGTGAGGCCGACTTGAGCACTGACTTGTTACTGAAGTTCGCCCTCACTCGGCGAGGACTCGCAATGGAACAGGCCGGATTGTTAGGTTTCAAAGAACATGAGAAATGGGCTGATCGCCTGTTGCACTCCAGATATCGTGAGGTGCCTTCGGGATACACTCGAGTCAGCATACAGCAGCTGCTTCAAGCCGATAAGCAATTGTTTGTCACCGCTGCTAATGAGTGTCGCAGTGGAGTGCAAGTCACGGAGACCGGTCGTCCATTGGACGAGGCGTGGATGCGTTGCGCCGATTTGACCGAGGTGTCTCATTTGCTCGCTCCTCTCGCGTCGCCTCCTCCCGCTAAGATTCCCTTTGAAAGACCCACTCCGTATGGCCGTGGCAAAGGTCGGGGCAAAGGTTCTGGTAAGGGTAAGCAACCGTCGCGCCGCGAGGTGACCATGCCAGAGGACCTAAAGGACGGGCACGCAAACACCCCGAAAGGAGTGCCCATTTGCTTTGATGCCCAGAGGGGCAAATGCACTAGGCCACTAGGCAATTGACGGGCAACAAGTGCTTCAGGGGTGCTCACGTTTGCTGCTTTTGTTACCAGCCCGGGCACTTCTACCCCAACTGCCCAAAGCGCAATACCGAGTGACTAGGGGCCCAGGCTCCTGCTCCCAAGATTGCACGCGTCTCACTTCAAACCAATCTTCAGGCTGATGAGGTCAAGGCCATCGATGAAATTGAGTCGATCAGTAGCGCAAGTCTTGATCACGAATTCAAGGGTTCGGTCGAGGATCGAGCTCTGACCCTGCTGAACAATGCTGTTTTTGTTTCCCCCACTGATTTACTTGAGATATTCCAATCACTCCCCACAGAGGCTTCCGTCCGAGGTGACCCATCACAAGGAGTCTCCTTCTCGACAGGTGCCTATTGCAGAGTCAAGGTTGGGCTGCGACGTAATGTCTTGCTCTTCCCGAATGTGACAAAGTTGGCCGCGCGCTTTGTGCGACAGCAGCTGCCCAGCTTAAAGTTCACGAGCTTAGCATTCTTTCACAACGTTCAAACCACACCTCATGTGGATGCGCATAATTCTTCTTTGCCCAATGCTGTGTGTGCACTGTCTGACTTCGATCAGGGACAGGTGTGGGTTGAGAGACCAGGCGGCCAAGCTTGGTGCGATGTTGATGGCGAACTACGCAGTGGAGTCGAACTCAGCTTGGATGGCAGTCATGCCGTCTTCACCGCTCGACGGTTGACTCACGCCACTAGGAATTGGTCGGGTGATAGAGTGGTGTTAGTTGCTTTTTCAGTCTCCGCCATTGATCACCTTAGTGAAACTGATAGTGCTACACTGACCGAGTTGGAATTTCAGCTCCCGATGCAAGCCGACATTCTTGATGCCGAACAGTCGCCTCCGGTTTGCTATGAAGCGCCGGTCGTTACCGGGGGGTGTGCTACTGATGAGTTTCCAAAACCACTCGTCCTCGCACAACCAGTGACTTCCCCGCCTCTAGCTTCCTCCAAGTCGGGTTTAGCCCCCGTAGCAGATTCCGTAGTGTCTACTGGTCAGGTTCAGGCCAAGCCGGTTGACCAGCCTGGTATTGTGCTCGAGCTGTTTGCCCGTGCAGGCTCTTTGTCCCGAGCCTTTCATCAGATTGGCTTTGAGGTCATGCCCATAGATAGGGGAAGTCACCGGCTTCCGTTGGCCAAGTTGTGCTCACTGGATCTTGCCTTGCCGAGCTCGTGGCAGTATCTTTCGCATGTGCTCGACAACTATCATGTTCGGTACGTGCACATTGATTTGCCGTATGCCACCTATGGACCTAAGCAGGGCCTCCGACGACTGTCCCATGGATCTGTCGTTCCTGTAGGAGGCGCCGACGCCTCTCAGGTTCAAAGGCTCGCATTGGCCGACTCCTTGTTGGAACATGTCATCACCTTCTTAAAACGAGTTCAACAAATGGGCATCGCCTGGTCCATTGAGCATCCGCAGTCCAGCTTCCTGTGGCATATGCCTGCTGTGCGCCAGCTCACCAACACCACTACCGTGGTGTACGATTTGTGTGCCTTCGATTCTCCGCATCGCTTGCGGAGGCAACTGCTAACGTCTTGTAGTGCACTCAAGTGTTTACAACAAGTGTGCCATGGTAATCACAGTCACACGCCTGTGACTGGCGGTGTTGATACTCATCCCAGGCTTTTCTGTCAGCAGGTTGCCCACGCCGTGGCTAAACACTGTGGCTTTGACCCCCTTTTGTCTCCGCTGCAGACCAGCCCTCCGCCTGTCACACAGCAGCGTCGGGGTAAACTTGGTGCGAGCCTCATCAGAGAATTTGGTCGCGTTTGCAGATGTCGTGTGCCACAGATTCCACCTGTGGATCATAAAAATTGCTTGCAGCACGCCATCGGTGACATCCCCGCAGGCTCCAAACTTCTCGCCACTGAGGAGACGGGGGAGTCGGGTGGCTTCGAACTTAGTGTTGGTGTGTATGCAACACCGGAGGAGTTTCTGGATGAGGCCAAAGGATTACGGCATCCCTTCGAGACGTTTGCTGTCATCCCCGACGAAGTGAAACGAAAGCTTCATGAGGCCTTGGTGAAGGGCCCTGAGTGGGGTGGTAGGCAACGTGTGGCCACTCTCAACAAGTGGTTAGAATGGGCCAGGGAATTGGAGGAACCAGAGTCCCGACTTAAGGAGGGCCTCGAACCTGGTGTGAGGTCTGTGTTAGGATCAAAAAGGCTTCTCTTGCTCAAGCGCATTGCTGATGACTTGAAGTGGCCCGACGATGGATGGTTTGAGGATACTTGTAAGGGTTTTGGTTTGGTTGGTTGGCAGAAGCCCACTGGTGTCTTTAGAAAGGAGCCTCGTCCCCAGGAGAGGACGGCTGACGAGTTTACTAAGGCCTGTAAGTACATCCGTCCGGCGCTTTTGGGGAAGGTTTTGTCCGAGGGTTTGAGTGAGCATTCCTCTGAACTGTGGGATAAGACTTTGACTGAGGTTGCCGAAGGGTTCTTGGAGGGACCACTTACCGAAGAAGAGCTGACGAGAAGGTACGGCGACGCATGGGCCCCTGTGCGCCGGTTCGCCGTGATTCAATCTTCTGGAGGCAAGCGCAAGTTGAGACCGATTGACGACTACTCTGAGAACTTAGTTAACGGTTCTTTTTCTTATGGGGATAAGCTAGATCTAAGGGCACTTGACGAGATCATTGCAATATGTCGCTTTTGGATCCGAGCTCACACGACGGAGCATCAATTCTTTCTGGACATGGCCAGTGGACCACCGTTGGTTGGTCGAGTGCACCCTGCTTGGGCGGGTTCGTCGTGGTGTCCTGAGCTGTGCACCTTTGATTTGAAGAATGCTTATCGCCAATTTGCGTTGAACCCGAGCCATCGTGCCTTCTCCGTCGTTGCCCTTCTCAATCCGGATAATGGCGACTTGGGATTGTTTGAGGGTAAGGCTCTGCCTTTTGGAAGCACATCGTCCGTGCTCCACTTCAACAGGTTGTCTAGGTTGCTGTGGCGGATAGGTTTGGAAGTCTTCTTGTTCTGGGCCAACTTCGTTGACGATTATCCAGTGATGAGCCCGTGCTGTCTTTCAGGTTCCACCATGGACACCTTGCTTGTGTTGTCCTCAGTGCTTGGTTTTTCCGCATCCCTTGACAAACTGAGCCCATTTGCAGACGTCGCTTCCATGCTTGGGGTCGAGATTGACTTGAAAGGAGCCAGGGAAGGGGTCATTCGGATTAGGAACAAGGAAGGCCGATCCAGTGAGGTGTGTGATGCCATCCGTGAATGCATCAGTGAAGGTTGCATCAAGATGCGTACTTTTGCCAGGGTTGCAGGTCGTGTCCAGTTCTCCGATGCGCAAGTCATGGGGAGAACCGGAAAGCTCGCATTGGCGGAGCTGAGAGCCGCTTCCACACGCCACGCATCCCGGTTTGTCCTGGGTCCCCGCGAGATCGAGGCTTTCGAGTTTCTCATTGATCGCCTCTCTTTCGGTTCCCCTAGGGTAGTCCCTTGTGTGGTTGCCCCTAAGCCTGTTTTGATCTTCACGGACGGAGCAAGCGAACAGTCTGGCAACACCGTTGGAGGTATTCTTTACTCTCCTTCTGATGCGCGGCCCCGATTCTTTTCTTGC